ACTGTGAGCTAAATAAACCTCTCCTTCCCTAATTTTGAGTGTTGGGTATTTGTCCCAGCAAGGAGAGAAGCTTAACTGAGACACATGAGATGCATGTGTTGGAAGTAAAGGGGAATATTTTGAGGTGGTTCATGGAAAAATGACTTTTACTGTAATAAGTTATTTAACATTTAAACATTCAAGATAGTTTTTAATAACAACTCAGGTCTATCTCCCACAGGTTTTATAGAAAACAAAATGTGGAGAGAGATATAGTGTGTTTATATTTGCTAATCATTGGCATGTACTCTTTATCAAAATGTTAATGAAATAATTTGGGTAATGCTAATTTTATTTTATTTTATTTTATTTTATTGATTGATTGATTGATTGATTTTTGGCAGAACCAGGGATTGAACTCCAGCCCTTGCACTTGCCAAGGAAGCGCTTATTCCACTGAGCCATCTTCCCAGCCCTATAATGTTAATTTTAAAGGGTCAGAAATTATTTATATAGAAAAAAACATAGAAAATGTTACATATCTGTCTCCTAAATCTGCGCAGGCAACAATTCAGTTTCCTTGCAGAAGAATCACAGAGATTTTGTTTACTAAGATCCCAGGGAAGATATCCAAACAGGTCAGCCAGGCATTTCAGCAAAGCTGCAAGAGAGTGCATCTAATCGAGTGGTTAAGCAGTGTGAGAAACAGAGCAGGTAAAGCCATTTCCAGGATCTGAATGAGTGATGAAAGAGCAACTGAGAAAAGAATTCCAAAGTTTTTCCCAGGCTAGCGATTCCAACTCATCAAGAAAAATGTGTCAAAGGGCTGGCCAGATAGCTCAGCGGACTAAAGCACCTGCTTAGGCAGATGAAGGGACCAGGGTTCAATCCCCGGCTTACCATACCAGCCCCACCCATGGAACACACTAAGATGGTGATTGAGATTGGGTGTAGTGGCACATGCCTGTAATCCCAACACTTGAAAGGCTGAAAACAGGAAGATCACTATGCGGCCAATCTGTGTAGTGAGACCCAGTAGACCTTTTATTAAATTTAAAAAATAAAGTGTCAAATACTTCTTAGGGACCTCCCACTCCTACACTGTTAATTCAGTTTTTAATTTAATATTACATATTAATTGCATATCATATATCTTAATTTATGATGCATTATCAATAGAGTTCTTCCTTTAAATTCGATTCTCTATTGGATGATATTTATCTTCAAGGAGTGAGCCACTGCTGAGCTTCTGAATATTGAAGTACATAATTTCACACCTTCATTCATAAAAGATTCATAATCTGAACCTGAGTAATAATGTGGGGGCACCTCCTGCTCCTCTGAGGAATCATTAGATATTGTTCCACCAGCTCTGGCCACTCAGTTTAGCAGAGAATTAAAGATGAACCCAAGCTTATCACATAGTGGAAAAAAAGAAATCCTTGTGAACTCAGCTACCTCTCACTGTTTTCTTCCAAGCATTTGCAAAGTGTTCTTCTCTAGTGTTTTGCTTATTTTTTAAGGTATTTAGTACAGGGTCTACTGGGTCTCACTACACAAATCTGACTAATAGTGATCCTCTTGTTTTCAACCTCCCAAGTGCTGGGATTACAGGCATGCTTCACCATGCCCAGTCTCAGTTGTTGTCTCAGTGTGCCTCAGGGACAGGACTGGCATGGCATGCAGGGGATCAAACCTGGCCCCTGAGCTCTGCCTAAGCAGGTGATTTAGTTGGCTGAGCTATCTGGCTGCCCCTATGTTCTTCACTAATACAGCTTTTTGGACGACATCTCTAACACCTCTTTTATCCTTTTGAACTCTTTCACCTTTGCTTAGCATTTAGGAAGAGCTAATATTTGTCTTCTGCATTACTGATACGACTTCTCAGTGTCATTTTTCTTTTCTGCGAGTTCTGTGGGTTTAATTTGTCTGCTGCACTTCAAAATTTCATTATTTCCTCCATTATCATTTTCTTCTTGTCCTTTCCTTTTTATGTGGTTCTTTTTATGGATTTCTGATTCTACTTTATAATAACCCTATCTTCTGACACTGTACTCAGATGAATAGTCAACTTTTTTTTTATAATCTTGCTATATTTCCCTGTTGAGTCTTCAAGGTGAATTTTCTCTTCCCTTTCCTTTATAATATTTCAAAGGCTCATTGGATTTTCAATGCATTCTAAAGTGGGAGATTTATAGGAAAGTATTGAAGAAAGCCACAGTCATAGAAAACAGGCTGATGATCGCAACTCTGGCCAATTTTCTCTCTCTGTAGAGTTTTTATACAGTTCAGTTTTTTAAGTCCGAAATATGACTTTCTTCTCTGAATCACCCTAGTTGCTAGGACTTTTGGTAGCAATGAACTTCAGATTTAAAGCCACTCTTTTCTTCTCCTCCACCAGAACTGCTCACCTTTTCCTACTTAGTAAAACTTGTGCTTTGGATAAGTGTGTGTGTGCGTGTGTGTGTGTGAGAGAGAGAGAGAAAGAGAGAGAGAGAGAGAGAGAGAGAGAGAGAGAGAGAGAGAGAGAAAGAGAGAGAGAGAGAGAGAGAGAGAGAGAGAGAGAGAGAGAGAACAGGAGAAGAGGAGGGGAGGGAGAGAGTAGTAGCTGGGCAACACTTGTGTGTTAAAAGGAAAAAGGAGAACCAGCAACAAAAATTATAAAGGGCTCTACTGACCAAAATTTAATAGTTTGTTTCCTTTTATTGGCTACTCACTAATCTCCCTCAGGACTTTCTATCAGCAAAATGGATGAGATAGAGACAGCAGCGGGAGAGAGCACCGACTGGGGTTTTGCAGATATTACTGTGGTAGACTCAGAAGTGGCAGACAGGCTACAGGACAGTGGCTCAGCCCTTGGCACATCTCTGAACTGATGACAGAGATAGATGAAGGCAGAAGTAGAGCTCTTTCTCTCTAACTTGTCTCACTAATTTGTAACATTTTTAAATGAAGTAGTATGTGTGGCTTGTCACTAAGATTTTCAACTCCAAAGTACTACCCACAATTAGTTATGCAAAATAAAATGTGTGTGTGTGTGTGTGTGTGTGTGTGTGTGTGCACATGTGTGAAGTGGCACCATGTTTTGTTTTCTGTGTTTTATCAAATATCTTAATCAAAAGCTAGGACTAGGTAAGATAGGTGCCTTTATTCAGATGCCATTCATAGGGTAAGGCCTAGCTCGCTCTTCTGAAACCTGTTTCATGTGGCCTCTTCTCTTCTGTGTTTCTCAGCTTACCAAAGGTCCTAAATTCTTGTCTTGGGTCTACAGCTTCCACTTGTCTACTTGGAGTCCTTGCTTGTCCTACAAGCCTTGTGAAAACCAGCTCCTCTCAACAGCCCTCCATGACAAAACAATGGCTCTCACACAGCTCTTTGGAGTAGTTCTTGAAGTCCAGTGGCCCAGAACACAGCCATGTTTAGGAGGATGACTCCTTTCCCACAGGACACAAACTCCATGCCTGTCCTTTCTAACATTTACTCCTGCTTATCTTTTCTGGAATTTGCCTTGTGCATCACCTCCTCATAGTACCTGCTTTATGTGAGGAACATAGCAAAGAACCAGAAGAGAATCCGTGGGCTTACATTACCTGACCCCTCGAGTTGGCAACTGTATAGTCTGAGAAGATTCTTAAACATGGCACCAGCTTGTCTTGCTGCGAACATACTTTTTGTCCGGTATCTGTGGCCTGACCTCCCCCACTCTTATTTTCTCTCCTGTTTCTTATTCTCTCTCCTATATCCCTCTCCCTATTTCCCTTTCATTCTTCATTTCCCTGGATCCAGATCATTTTATACCCCACTTTCCTGCCTGATTTTTCCTGAACTTCTCTTTCTTTTTCCTCACTTTGATAGATGGTACTTGGGCAATTATTCCTACTGTAACCAATCTTCTCAGTGCCTGACAGATGTGACCTGCCCCATCTACAGATGTGACACTGTTGGTGTGGGCCTAAGGGAAAATCAAAAACTTTTGAGTTCAGCAAAAGAATACACAACTGTTAACTTCTGTGTGTACTACTATGAATGTAACACAGAAATCCTAACTAAAATTGCTGCATATTTCAGAAATTAAAGAGTGCTAATTATGAAAAACTTACCAATTATCTGAGATTCATAGCCTTAAAGGTTTTTATAATAATATAGTATTCAGCAATTTTACAGTCATTACAGGTTTTTTTAAAAGATACAGAAACAAAACATTTCTCAAGTCATGGTTCAAAGACATTCTTATCAACAAATAGACTCAGGAATCCTTCTGCCTTTTAGACAATTATTTGTTGTACAACAACACTGTCTATTAACAACATGCTTGTCACTTATCCTAAATGATTTTAGACCAACAACTATCTTAAAGTCTTGCTACAGAGGAAGAGTCTCAAGATGAGCACCACTGTCTGCTAACTCAAATGGGAATTAAAGAAACAGTTCTCACATGCAGATAAAGATGCATGCATTAAAGTAGGTCAAAGCCTGTTATTGGCTACATCACAAGCTGCCCGCAAGAAATATAGTTCAGGTCACAAGAGAGAATCCTATATAATTCTAAATTTTCATTTGGCCATAATTAAAGACTAAAAATGAAAAGGCAGTGAGATTAGCTTTAATTCAACCTCAATATATCCAAAATATTAATATTTCATTAATAAATCCTGTGAATGTGTATGAACTAAGAATTCAAAAATCTCATGCACATGATACACTTTCAGAGCTTCTCACTTTGGACTACTCCTATTTCAAATGACCAATAGCACACAGGCCTGGAGGCAACCGTAGTTTCTTAAGAAAAATGTGCTTAAATAAAAAGGAAAATCCTTCAGACAAATTTTCTAAAAGTAACTAATGATGTGGACGTGAGGAGATGTATATGTTAATTAGCTTGATTTAGCTCCCTTACTCCATATATTTCAAACCATGTTGCACATGAGATATGCAATTCTTAAACTTGTTGGATGAAAATAAAAAAGCCGCGCCATGAAGAAATAAATAGTGTGAGAGACAATAACAAATTTTTCTCTTACCTACACAAATCTTCTTTTATATGAAGGGAAATCAATTCCTTAGGAATATGGAAAGAAAGTATGCTCTCCGACATCTGCTCCCGGATTTGCATCCACTTATTGTCAGAGGTGGGAAATCTATATAATTTACATACTGGGTTCTTTAACACTGTGGAAGAGGAAAATAAAGAAGTAATAATTAAACTGAAAACAAATGCAGTCCAGGTGAAATTCAGTTAACAGTATCACTAACCAGGGTAGCATTCTAATTATTTCTTTTACCAGGAAGATATTTTATTTCAGAATTCAGTAGTATATTTGAAATTCTAAGCACTTTATTTTTATACCACAGTTTTCAATGGTTTCTCTAGAATCTTGCTTTGTTAAATTAAAAAAAAAAAGGACAGAAGTATACATCTTACTCCTGGTCACAAATATAGCTAATATGGTTTCCTAAATTAGTACCTATTGATTTTTTTCTCTTTAAACTTTGTGTGTGTGTGTGTGTGTGTGTGTGTGTGTGTATGTATGTGTATGTGTGTGTTTTACATTAAGCTACATCTGCCATCTGTCCTTTTTTAAACATTTTGAGACATTTCTAAGTAGCTCAATTAGGCTCAAGCTTGTGATTCTTCTGTCTCAGCGTTGCAGACTTCCAGTATTGCAAGAAACTGTTCTAAACATTTTTATAAATCACATGTTCCCATAAGTATAGATGATAATATAAATGTGTACATAACACACAATTTGAATAAATGCTTCCAAATGCCTTCTAATCACTCTTAGTCAACTTTGCCTACTTGTACAGTAAGGGTCAACAGATATGTTAGTTCAGAAGTTTCAGAAATATCTGTTAGTAAAAATTCTTATCTGTCAAGGTTTATTCCTTTTGCTTAAAATGTATGAAAATTCACATAGTATGCCTGTTTTAATATGTTCAGTGGGTCAGTAATGAATTCTATGAATCCATAGTTCCTCAAAAGCAAGAGAAGGATATATGAAGATGAGCCACTTAAGGTCAATGGGCAGGGATTAGGAGAAGTAGCAACCAAGTTATTTGAACAAGTGTTGTAAAAAATAATGTAGGGCTGGATATTCTGATACCTCACACAGTTTCATTAACTTTCAACCAACCCTAAGACATATATTTCAGGTTAGAATGTCTTCCTACTGCCGTTAAACACTGCATGTCTTTGTTATCTTCCTATACCAAGGCTTAGTGAACAATAAAATGTCATATCAGTCACTGTCAAGGGTCAATTAATAACTGACTGTTGTTTACAATAAAGTTGAATAGTAATGGCGGTTGATATTGAAGTGTATGTAACTAATAATGAGCATGGTATGCAGTCCAATCTCCTTACATACAATGAAACATGTCTTTCAGAAATGCTCGGTTCCATAAGTCTGCTGTATCTTATTCACTATTCTGTAAGCACTAAGATTTATCTTTCTGAACAGTGAAATGAGAATCTGTCTATCCATTTTTCTGAAAACACCCATTCTCTAAGGTATATAGTAAAAATCATCATTAACAAAATTGGTATAAATCACATAAGGAACTTAGATTTCAAACATCACATTTTTCACCAGATCAAAATCTTCTAGTGTACTTATATATACTTGCCAAGAATTAGGAAAAGGGCTCCTTTTGCGACAGGACCAAGAAAAACTGGAACACTATAAAATATTTCCAGTGTGTTGAAGAGAAATATTTCAAAATCTAGAGCTCTAAGTTTGTCAATTAGAATTTATCACAAATACGTATAGAGTTCATTACATTTATTTCCCTTTATCTGAAATATAAGAACTTACAGCCAGGAAATGAAAGAAACTACACTTCATTCATTTTTAGAGTGACAATTTTTCACATATATAAGGACTATATATAAGGACTATACTCCTTTTATTAGTATACCTCTAGAATTGAAACATACATACTTAATACAATATGGTTTCAAGTTTTATCACGTAAGATGATATCTCATGAATTCTGATATCATAACCTTTTTAGGAATGCAAATGTATCTTTTTATAGCAAGACAAATCTAGATCCCTGAAATGCCCAAATTTTTCCAGAGCAACACATACCGATATTCACTTAGGTGGTTCAACTATACTGACCACACACATTTTTTGTAGCTCCAAATATAGTTAAGAATACTTTATTTTTCTTGTCAACAATTACTGTTTAGGTAATTTATATTTTGAATTATATCAGAAAGTATAAATTTATTTCTCTGTTGATCCCAAAACAAGTCCTTCAACATTTTTATTTTTTTTTCATTTCAAAGCTTTCAGTGTACTCCAAATATAAAACCTTTGTTGAAATAGCTTTGTAGAAATCAAGGGCAGTTTGATTAATAAGCTTTGGAAGTCTCCTCTAACCAGCAGGTACACATACTTCAACGACTCTGGGATTGCTGCTTTTTGGAATGAAACAATTGAGTCAAATAGTCAAATGGCAGGCAACTTAATCACACAAAGCCATCTGACATCTCCACCCTAACGTTTAGGTTATAGGCTTTGATGTTTGAGACTCAGAGGCCTTCAGCATTGTATAGAATGGTAAGCATCTCAACTCAGGTGTGTTGGGATCTACTATTTATTTACTTATTTATTTATTGTTGTTAATATAGGTTTTTGCGACACAGCTTGAACTCATAGCAATCTTCCTGTCTCAGCCTCTCCAGCACTGGGATTACAGGGGTACACCACCACACCTAGTTTCAGGGCTAGCACAGTCACCTGGGGTCCCAGAACCTGCATGGCATGTGGTACAGGGGCTAAAACGCAGGTCCTTATACTTGCCAGGCAGGTGCTTAACCTGCCGAGTTCTCTCCCCAGCCTGGGATCTCCTTTGTAATTCAGTTTCATCCCGCAGAATTTTTCATTGAACTCCTACTCTGCCTGAGGCCAGGATACCTGTGAGCACCATCAAATAAGATAGAATAGAATGTGACTTTAAAACAAAAATACAATCTGACCTTTCACTGCATTCAAATTTGCCACATGGGTTACCAAAAGAGCAAATAGGATAATCTCAATGCAAAGATTTGCTGTGCAGATGGTGGGGAAATTTAATTACCCTCATGTAAAGGAAAAGCCTGGAATTCAATGTCAGCATTGAACAATGGGCCACGAATGTTGAGTGATTTGGCCAACATTTTTCAATGCTTCTCCACTAAAGAGCAGATATGATTTCAACAATTCTGCACATTGTTCCAGCTGTGTACATGCGCAGATAATTCTTGAATAACTTTCAGCTCGGGCTCTGTACTGTGCCAAGTGTCTGTGCAGGGAGCAGCAGGTTTTGTGACCATAGAATAGCCTCAAACTAACAACAGTTGTTAGGTAACTACAAATTCTTTGCAAAGATAACTCTGTGTGCATTTCCAACTCCATTTCTACAATGTTTTTGCTAAAACCATTTCTAAAATGATCACAAGACAGACGCTTCTAAGAGAAAAGTCATTGCCATCATTTCAATTGCATTATTCACAGTCTTGTGATAACTTAGTGAAGATAAACTTCTAAGTGCGTCTGGATCTTGTTGGATGTGTTCCTTTTGTTGTCCATTTTTAAGATGTACTCAAGAACAGAAAAATACATGACGAAAGTGGTTTCCTCTAACATGGCAGCTCAACTCAAATGACTAAATTATTTCTCCCAGACTCCACAAGAGGGCTGCTTAACTGGGTAGCAGGCCACCTGCTTTCCCGTGGATCCAGCAACTGTGAACACCAAGCTGCAGCAGTTCAGCAGAGCACAGAACAGGATGCTGGGGAGGTGTTCCGCCAAAAAACATAGATATATGGAAAAGACCTCTGCACAATGTGGATCACAAAAAGAGACGGCGCAGATACCCTGGGATGGCTTTCTATTTTCCATTTCTGTGAAGAATAAGTGCTAGGGATATCACTGAGTTGATCAAACAGAGATGTGGGAAGTAGAATTAAGGATTCAAGGGATGATCAAAAAAGTCAAACACTCATTTCAAGGGGCTATCCTTTCTATTTCGGTGAGGCAGCTCATCTGTGGTTATCTTCACATATGTCCTTGCTTTCAGGACAGCGTAGAAGCTTTATATTTAGATGGGGTCTGGCTTTACTGACTTCTGGCCCTATAAAATAACTTTTAATGCTCTGCAGATTCTTGTAAAGAATCTAGTCATTCTGTACTTTCAATTACGCAGTTGTTCAAATATTTAATTACTCAGCTGAATGTGCATATATATTGCCTATATTCTAAAAGTTACATTGTATTTATTAAGGATAAGTCCATGTGATTCAACAGGACACTGATACACCCTCATTTTACTTGGAAATGTTCTCATCTTTTTTATATCTGAGTTTCACGTTGGGTTTTTTTTTAAAAAGATTGGGCAATACCTACAAAGCCTAAATATAACAAACAAAACACTATGGTGGGCATGGCTGCAATAAAAGAGGAATAGGAACTCAAGGGGAACTCAGAAAATGCAGCGAAGAGCTGGCTTTCTACAGAACAATGCAGGTGAAAAATTATTCCAAAATTAAAATCCCAAGAAATTTATAGTGGCTTTTTAAGTTGTTATAAAATCTAAATTATGTACATGTATGACTGCATGTACACATGTGTGCATCTATGTATAATTGCTTTTCTGAGACAGGGTCTCACTACGCAATTCAGGCTGGCCTTGAACTCAATATGTAGCCCAGGCTGGCCTTAAACTCAGGGCAATCCTCTGCCTCAGCCTCCGTAGTGCTGAGGTGTGCACAGCTATGCCTGACCTAAACTGTACTTAAGTTGAAAACAAAAGGAAAGAGTAGAGATAGTACAGAAGCTGAGCTGTACAATGTACTGCTTCCCAAATTCAGCCAAAACTACAAGCTGGATTTCTATCTTCAATTTAAGGCCAAGAAGGGCTAGGGAGATAGCTCAGTGGAATAAGTGCTTGCTTGGTGCCAGCGCAAGGTCCTGAGTTCAATCCCTGGTAACACCAAGTTAAGGCCAAGAATGTAAAAAACTGTAGCAGATGTCATAATGAAACATACAAGCAGCATTTGTTTCTAACTGCTGACACTTGGTGAAGTTAGTCTCTAGAACCTGGATCGAGATCTTGGGTGGTCAAAAGAGATTTGCTTCATCTGTGCTCATTGTGTTTCAGGTAACAAAGGATGCAATTGG